TGGCAGGGCGGGCGTGGCGTCGCATGACATTCACTGGAAGTGGCTTCCATTCATAGAAGACCAAGACGCAGCACTCCCATGATTGGACCAACTCAATTCCTTGGAAACACACACACCAAAACTCTGATAAGGAAACAAAAATTCGAAAACAACTCAACTGCAAGTTGAATGAACTATCGCATATCGTACCAAAAAGCAAAGTTTATATTTTTGTCTATTTCACGTTTGCTAATCGAACGAAATCGAAAATACTTGTCTATGCCAAAGTCTATCCGTCTGTCTATTCACTTCCAGCTGGCAATGTCAAATGCGAGCCAAGTTTAATGACTTTTGATGCCAAAATAAAAACAAAAGCCATGTTTGACTGCTCTTGACTCCCGCAACCAGTAAATAAACAAAAATCAAAATAATAACAACAACAACAGCGCAACAATAACAATTACTTGGCTTAAACGTTGCGTTCGGCTTGTTTGCGTTTTGGTTTATTGAACTCGTTTTCTGACTGTTGATTAGAGACATCTAACTGTTGGTCTGCGCTATACACTAGCTGAAGGTGCTATAAATTTTGAGATCAGGTGTGGAGCGCGTGAGAGTAGACATGGAGATTTTCCAGTTTTCCATGGAAAGTTTATATGAGAATAGTCTGAAATCGTGAGACTTGAATGAAATGAAATTGTAAAAAAAACCTAAAAATTTAAATGAAAAATGGATTTGTTTGAGTTCAATTTTCATTATGTTATGAATGAAGAATCTTAAGAAAATAATACAATATATTCAATCCAAAACAACCTTCCCACCAGAGCATTTCATATTCGTACAGAGATTCTAATTGGATTTAATTCTACATTTGTTTTTTTTTTTTTTTTTTTTTTTGCATATGAATGGAGGAGGAAATGTGAGCTGCGATTAAAGGCACTGTGAATAGTTCACGGGTTCTAGCTAAATAGCTCTACTGGTTCCAGTCAAATGTTGTTTCAAGCTGTACAAACCCAGATATGAAACAAATAAATAACGAACAAAAAAAAACTAGGTTCAAACACATTAACAAACCCGAAAAGCCAGCAACTGCCCGCACCCAAGGTTTCCACACACACACATATATATATACAATTATATACATATAGAGATAGAGCTATAGATATAGACGTGCTTGGCATAGCGTTAAAGTCGGGGCTGTGGCTGACTTTGACATTCAACTTGCTGTCGGGCAGTTCAAGTGGCACTCGAGGCGTTGGCAAGGTCATTCGATTAGCTCGATTCTATAGCACTAACCTAAGCCATTTGTTCACCCAGTTACAGTTTTTTCTATTTTTTTTTTTTTTTTTTTTTTTTTTTCTAGCATTTGACTGCGCCATATATAATGTGAAGATATATATTTACACAGCCTATCGCTGGAGAGTGCTGAGCTGATAGCAGTAGCTGCTGAGTTTCCCTAGTTTGTTTTTGGAAATGCTTGCGAACACATATCACCTGTGCGCGGCACGTGAGCAGCGGGCGCTACAGGTAAGTCGGGCAGGTCGTGTAGGAGCGCGAGGGGCGGTGGGAGACCCTTGGCTGGCCAAAAGCAACGGCCACACGATTGGAGCAACTTGAGCTCTGTTTTTTTTTTTTTTTTTTTTTTTTTTTTTTTTGACTATGGCGTTGTTATTTTAACATTTCATTTCACTGGAATAGCTGCGATACCAGCGCACATATCAACGGTACTCGGACATATATGCATGCTATATATATATACATATGTATATACATATATATTTATATATCTTTTCGTATCTTGCATCCGTTGGCAGCCGTGCGCCCTGTCCCGTTAAAATTTTTTTTTTTTTTGCAATTTGATTTGCATTGTATTTCAATTTGTTTTTATAATTTTTGCTCCCTTTTTTATTTAATTTTTTGTTTTTTATATTTGTTGACATATTTTGAATTTTTTCTTTTTTTATATTTATATTTATAATTTTTTGTTGTGTGCCGTTTCAACGCATCTACTTACAAAGCCAAAAAATGCAGCGCAGTCATATATTAGCTTTTAAATATAGTAATTTATTTTGGGAAAATTAAAAAAATATATAATGATAAATAAAAAATTTTAGATCACGTTTTTTGTCACGCGCAAAATGCCAAATTGAAATTGGTAAATAAATGCGACGCAGTTAGGCAGAACTCTTTTGTTTTGACCGTTATCAGTTGCAGATATTTAGATATATGTATATATAAACAGTTAAAATATATCATAACAATATAGTCATAGTCCAGCACAAAAATAGCATGCCCATATTGTTTAATTTAATTTAATTTAATCTGAAATACTTTACGCTTCCAACATATATACATTCTTATTGGAATTTTTAGAGTTTAATTCTTATTGGTATGCTATGGTTTCTGCGAATGTGTTTAGGACCACAGCAGTGCACCTTCGTTATATATTCTATAAATTAATTGAAAAGCTGCCTCATCATATTGTCATATCTTATTAGCAAATTACACCATTTCCCGTTAACTGATCAATCACCATGACTTGTCATTCTTATTATTAATAACTATGCTATATCGAGCATAATTAATGAATCACATTTTACAACTTATGTCTCATGTTTTCTCTGGTTTTGGTGTGATTTTTATCAAGTTCTTCTGCTTGAACTACTTATGGAATATATACTTACATACATGTATTTATAAATGTTTGTGATACATATTTACACGACTGACGCACTTTTAGGAGCGAGAATAAAACGCAGTTTTGCTTTTGGAATTCTCGTATGAGTAATTCGTACCAATTCAGATGTTTTTTTTTTTTCTCTCTAGACAAAAGACAAGATTCAGTGATGACACAATGAATACAAATTAAATATAAGAACAGAGCTTAAGAATTTTAGATCAATATTCAGAACTCTGCCTGACTTCCAAATATTATATCGACTCTAATCAAGTCAAGCACTTAATTCGCACGCCACTTTTTTATGAGCTCATCATCTGAATGCATATCTCAGACCCGGCGACGCGCTTTCCAGCACGATCTGAATATCTGAATATATAAACATTTGTATGTGAATACATATACAGATATATATGTATGTATGAATGCATGCACTGCATTTAGCTTTGGCTTTAGCCTTGGCGCTTGTTTATTTTCCTTGTGTATTTGAGTCATGTAGAAAGAAAACCAAATTCCTTTTTATCAAAACAACTCCCGACGAAAATAGATAAGCTGGGTCTCATGTGTTTGGCACAGAGTGTATGAAAGGCAGCGGGATAGCGTCGTAGAAAATATAAACTGCAGTCGAACTGAACTATCTCTATTCATCTGAAGTCCAATGTCCGATCTAGAAATCTGAAATGACTACAAAGATAATTTGACATTTTAGATACCCAACATCAAAAAATGAAATATTTTTTCAACTCATATTCAGCAGCTCAATACGTGGTATCTGCGAGCCCAGCATTCCCCTCCATTATAGTCTCACCATACATATATCTACTCTATTTATATATCTCACATACTTCGTCTCAGATTATCAGTATGACTTGGCATGAATTCAAAGGTATTTTTGTTGCAACAGACTTTGCGGAAACTTTTACGTCCAAGTCTTATTGCAGGGTATTAGCAATAGATTATATTTTGTTATTTGAACCACTCGGCTGCCACGTCCCCTATAATTCCAGTAACCAAGTTTATTGCACATTGTACTTGATTACGGAATATTACAGTGGCTGTCCCTGATTGTCTTACAGCGTCACAGTTTATGTGCCTCATGAGGCGAACAGCTTGATTAAAGGTGTTACCAACAGAGACGCTGTAAGATCTATGTATCTAACTATCTCTAAAAAAAAAAAAAGATGTAATTATATATAGCTTGCGTAAGGTTCTTTTCGTATGCTTTTAGAGCTCAAGCATCTTATGACTAAGCCAAATGTGGATTTATATGAAGTTGAATCTAAGAATAATCCAATCAGAGAAACCTAACAAGAATAGCTCATCAGCTACTCTGTATGATTCGCCCAGCTAAAATTGGATGCTCTAATAAGAATATTGCCTGCATATTAATATCATGAAGTAGTTCTATGTGCGTCAGTCATGAAACGAAAGGTCTAGAAAAAGCTGAAACAAAAGCTTAGGCGTCATCTAGAATAGATTCCTCGTATATTAAAATTTATATATTATTCAATCAGAGGCATTTTTTGTACATACCGGATAAATACAAAAAATAGCGTATCTTTTTTTAGATTCCCGAGCAAACTTAAGACTCAGTCAGACTGGGGAACTATCCTTATATACCCCTCATCAGTTTCTCGGCTTCCAATTCCAACTCTTTCGCTTCAAATGACTTTGTGATAACAAATTTTCTGCTGAATCGTTTGCTAACTGAACCAGTAGAAGCAGGGGAAGAAACAGAAGAAGATATTTTGAAAAAATTCTTGAGACTACAGTAAACATATCGTCAGGTTTCAAAAGTATTTCGCATATATTTTTTATGTACGTATGAATTTATATAAATGTATATGAATATACATATTTACAGTTATGGGGAAATACATAGTAAAAATGCTGCTGAAATTCAAAACTTTGCCTGATTAAATTGCAAAATATTTTGAAATTTTAGATATAGTAGAGCTTAGATATATGCACATATAGAAACATATATGTATATTTTGTTTACCATTTTTCTGTATATTAGTTGAAGGCTGTAGACTCTAGAGTCAATACACCAAGACGATGCCCAATACTATATGACGTTTTTCTCGCTCGCACTCCCTTTCTCTCTCCCTCTCTCCTTCATTCTCCCATAAAACCTTTTATCCGCTTTATCTTCGTTTTTTATTGGCCTTTCACCAGTTCTAGACAATATCCCGTAGACCTTTCCAAAACCCCAACCCAAAAATAAATAATACTTTTTGTGTTTAATTTTTTAGTAAAATTTTTTCAGATTTTATTCTTTTTTAGTAGCTGTTTTTTAGCTCAACTGTTTTTTTTTTTCCGTTGTTTTTTTTTTTTTTTTTTTTTCTTCAAAAATTCTTTTTCTCTTAGATTTCTCATTATGTTCACTATATCACGTGGTCTTACAAATAGTTTGCTATATACATAGCTTACAATAGATATAGATAGATATATATGCATATATACGTATAGAGGTGAGACTATATTTAAATGTAGAGATATTAGGTATTATATTATTATTATTATTATGCATTAGAGTTAAGTTTTTTAATGTCAAACAAACATGGATAGTTTGTGTGGAAGACTTTGAAGATTTCATTGCTGTTGACATATACATATATATGTATCTATGCAAGTGTATGTGTGTGAGCGAAACTCTAAAGTAATATTCTAATACATGATTCATGAGGCAATTTTACACCAAGTACTTGGATTGAGGTAGTTTGGCGACATGCAAAATACCATTTTGAGAAATGAATTCACAATAATAATAATAATAATATATAATAATAAATAAATTATAACAATATATGTGTGTGTTTGTGTGTGTGTGTGTGTGTGTGTGTGGGGATGGGTATGGATGCTCTTCATCTCGCTGAACAATTCTCCTTTAGAGAAATGCCCAAGTGAAACGTGGAGCGAATTAGGAGTTCCGCTTGCTCGAAACACTTCGATCGCAACATTTGCGTTATCCTAGCGAAATGTGATGAAATGTTTATGTGTGCGTGTGCGTGTGGATGTGTGTGTGTGTGTGTGCGTGTGTGTGTGCGACGCCCATCAGTCTTTAAAAGCGGTTTGCATTGTTTTTTGGGAGCAGTTGCAATGCGAGCGCCTGGCTCATTTCTTTACATCTTCTTCTTCTTCTGCTGTTTGCATATTTTTACCAGGGCCGCCAGGGCTGCTCCTCCTCCACCTTGATCTGCTTCTTGATGACCAGCGACAGGGGTTGTTGCTCCGCCAAATTGGAGCTGGGCACGCGCTGAATGACGGAGGGCTTCACATCCATTGGCTCGTAGACCGAGTTGGCGGGACTGGGCGGGGCATAGCTGCCGTGGCTGCTGCTGCTGCTCGGCGCCGACTCGTAGCCGGCCGAGGAGTGGGAGCTGGCGGAGCCGGTGCTGGCCGTACGCTGTGGCATGGACACCAGTTGATGGTGATGTTGCTGCAGCTGTTGCTGTTGAGCGGCGGCGGCAGCGGCAGCGGCAGCTGCTGCAGCCAATTGTTGCTGTTGCTGCTGTTGCTGTTGCAGCAACTGTTGCTGCTGCTGCTGTGGCAAGCTCTGGGGCAGCACCAGGGCGATGCTACCGTTGGGCAGCTTGGTGGGTATCACCTGCATGCCATTGGGCAGAAAGTAGCCATTGGCATTGTGCTGGATCTGGCCGAAGAGATAAGGCGCCGCTGCTGAGACCAAGTTGTTGCTGCTGCCGCTGCTGCCGTTCGTTGCTGTTGCTGACTCCTGTTCGGGCGAGCTGGGCGGCGAGGGCAAGACGACCTGGGCGTGCAACGACTGTGCCTGGGCAGCTGCCTGCTGGCGCTGCTGATGGTGCAGTTCGCTCTTGACGCCATTGATGCAGTTGCTCAGATGTTGCAGCAGACGACGACGCTGGGCAGCATCCAGACCGGGGAAGCGGCTCACCTCATTCGCACAGTCGGCAAAGCCGGCCTTGAATTTGTTGATGATCTTCGGATCGGCGGCCTGTTGCATGGCAGCTTGCTGACGCTGCAGCTCTTGGAGATGCTTCACTGTCTTCTCCAATATGTCGGCCTTTTCCAGCTTTGAATGACGCGCAGGCTGCAAGGAGAGAGATCAGAGAAAATGTGAGGATTAGTTATGGGTTTATAAGAAGTGTAAAGGGAGCTAGATATACAGATGTAGATTTATAGAGCGAGGGGTATAGACTTCCTAACTTTCTATATATCTATCAATCTATATACAGAGGCAAAGATCTTGTAGTTGGATAGTATAAGATACTTACGTCTTTTTTGGTGGCATCTAGTATGAGAGTCTTCAGCTCGTTGAGGCAGTTGTTGATGCGTGCACGACGACGTTTTTCCATAATTGGTTTGTTTGACTGCAAGAAAGAGAGAGAGGGAAAGATTTCAGATTAGTCACGAGTTGCAAAACACGAGTAAAATTTTTTTCTTCTTTTTTGGAACTCTTTGACCTCATGCAGCGTTCGACAACAACAAAAATAAAATCATATGCGTGTGGCTTTAATTGGACACGGGGACTCTCAACATTGTCATCAGCATTGAGTCGAGCAATTCTGGCTGGGGGCCAAAACACAGAAGCATGGCGCGTGCTCTATTTATATATATATATTATATATATACATATATATCTATCTGTTGCACTCGCAAGTGCTGGCCAAAAATAGTTTCTTGGTTATAAATTACGATAAGCAACGAGCCGATGCGGCCAAAAATAAATAACCAATACGCAGGTATTTCGAGCAACAACAACAAGGTCGTCGTGGGAAATTCGAAGACGCAAAACAACAAATTGTTGTTGTTTTTAATTTATTTTTTGCAACAGTGAAAAAATTAAGAAATACAAACAGAATGAAATTATTTTTGGTGCTGGCCAAATTTGGCGCAGCTCAAACGCCCGCACTGTATGAAGTCAGCGGGCAAAAGCCAAAAGCGGCCAAAAGCATAGCCATAGGGCGAGCAGCTTTTAAGCAGCCAAAAGAAGCTGATGAGCGACAATTGCAGCGACCACGCGCCAAATGGAAGCCGCTCAAGTGGGCAGCCGCAACCAATTTTGGGTGGCACTCATGAATGGACCGGCCAGCTGTCCGTCCGTTCGTCCGTCTATCCGCTGTCTGTCTCCATGAATGAAGCCCAAACGTAAATGCCGCCAACGCCAGACGCCGCTTTGTGTTGGCGAGCCGACGGCTTTTTTTTTTCACTCTTGATAAACAGTATTTTTTCTATATGGTTACAGTTGTTGGCATGTGGGAGCCGACGACGACGAAATGTGGCCAAAAAGGAAATGCATTTGGGCAGCAAAATTGGCAAACTGTGTGTGGGACACGCTCAGTGCGTGTGTGTTTGTACAAAGTGGGAGACAACTTGTATGGGATTTATGGGATGTATGGGATTTATAACGTGTAAACATTTATAAATTTCCTAAGAAATATGCCCAAATACGAAGCTGAATAAATAAATATTTATTCGAAAATAAAAGCTAAGGCGAATAAACACTCTATTTAGCTAGCGCATCTCTAATCATATGCAAAAATAGCCCAAGCTAATTTCAAATGCCAAAATAACTAACGACAGCTTTTTAGCACGCGCACCTCTAGTTCGCTCGCTCGCACTTTTAATCCAAGTCTTTGCAATGCAACGGTACTTTTTTTTTGTTACACATTTGACACTTACCCTGCGGTCACTCTTGATGGGTGTCTCCTTCAGCTGGGTGGGCACCACGGCCGCGCCCACTAAGTTGGGACTCATGTTTGTTGTTACGCCGGTAACCATCTCGATATCGGCTATATATTGCTTATGCAGTTTAAGACACAGTTTGATTTTGTTATTTGTCTCTGTTTTTTCACTGGCGGCAAATGCAGAAATTTGCTGCGCACTGCTTTGATTTGTTTGTTTTAATGCAGTTCTATGATTTGTTTATTTTTCAGTTTTCAGTTTCAAGATCACTTTTCACTTTTCTTTCGCGCAACGACGAATCTACGTAAAATACGTTATAGTCTTTGCTTAGAGTGTTTCTTCTTTTCTTTATTTTGTATTCTTCCGCTTCAAAGAGAGAGGCAACCGCACGCTACGAGTTACGGCAAGCGAATGGCTGTCTGGTTCTGAATGCAGCCCGATTAAACGTTTCTCGAAGTACGAACGAGGCGAGCGAGCAACGATCGTCACGATGGCGAATCGTCAAAGTGTGAGTGTGCTTGAACGTTTGCTCGTATATATATATTTTTGCGTGTGTGCGTTTTTGCTGGCGACTACCACCTTATCGCTAGGCTTACAGCAGACGACTGACGATTGATCGACAGGTTCGTTGGCTAAATCGAAATCGCCGCAGCGAGGCGCGGGCAGCGGCAGCGCGAGCCACACGACCAGTCGGCGGCATATTTACACACACACATACATACAGTATATGTGCGACTGCATACATTTGCGTTCGCATGTGTAGGTAGCAACGATGTCGGCTCTACCTGTGTGCGCAGTCATTGTTGTTGTTGTTGCTTCTGCTGCTGCCGTCAGTTTACCTAAGCCGCAAGCCGCGGCCTCTGCGAGAGAGCAGCACACAGTTACTCATACGCCCCCCTCTCCGAACGAGCAAGAAAAAAGCACTGCAAGTTCTATTGGGCATTTCTTCCTTTTTGGAAATATTAAAACCCCCAGTGAGCGTGCGAGCGGGATTCACAATATGCGCGAGAGTGTGTTAGATAGAGATAATCAATAGCGAGAGCGAGAGCGTTCGCCGTGCTGATTCATGCGGCCAACGCGACGACGCGTCGACGACGTCGTCCCATAGAAGGTGAAAATAGCAAGCGGCAGCAGCTCACCCAGAGACTTAATATTGATATGACGCCACCCCAGCGCCGACAGGTGTGGATGTGTGTTTGTGTGGCGATTGAGTGAATGTGTGTGTGTATGTGTTATGATGTCGTGATCAGTGGGGTCGCTAAACAGTAAACAAGATCACAAGGTTGCTCACGCTGTTGGGGCTGTGCGCACGCCAAGCGGAAGCGGGCGACAGCGCAACACCTGCGTCACTCACTATCTAACCAAACGCACGCACACACGCACTAATGTTCCAAATTATGTGTAGTAGTTCTTTTTTGGCTATGTAACTGTAACCCATTCAATTCGCCTTAATTAAGCTAGGGAAGGTCACTTACACTAAAGCGCATGCGTATGAGTGAATGTGTGTTTGTGTGACTGTGTTAAATCAATCGGCAAGGCTGATGAGCACGATACACGTGCGTCGGACAATGCTTAGGTTCGTTTTTATGGCGTCTACGTGCACGGCGGACTTTCACGTTTGGACTTATCAGTTTTTTCGAAGGCTGGCGCTTAAGTCACACCAGGCAAGAGAATAAATAGTTATTTCTAGTCTCGCTCTTCAATATATGTACGTGTGAGAGTGTGCAAAGTAATGTAAGCCAGTGAGCAAAAAGAGCAGAAACAGAACATCTCTATGCACATCCACAGACACACATGCGCAAACGAGAGCGAAAGTGAGCGAGCAAGCTTATGCATTGCGTTTAGTAACGTTCTTCCAAGCCAAGCTGCAAAAGCTTCCAGTTGCTGAGAGCACTAATGTAGTCCAATGGTAGCTTTCCATTTGAATTCGTACTCAAAGCTCTTATAAAATGTTGTCAGTTATTGCATTGTTTATGCATTTGGCAATGTGGGTCAATTTTCTGCGAGTGTGTGCGTGTAGTATAAGTCACGAGTTTTATGCGTTTTATTGCTGGTGTTTAGAAGGTTGCCACGTCGAACAGACCCCCGGCCAGAGTCCGCCAGTCGAGCAACACCTTCGTGTTCCAATTACAATTTGGCAGCCGATCAAAAGGCTGCCGCCCGCGGCTGGCGTTGCTGGCGGCACTTGTGCATGCCAATTTAATTGCACACGGGCAGCGTTTACATCATGTGGCTGCTGCTGCTGTTGCTGACGCTGCTTCTGGCCAAAAACAGCAACTGGCAGCTAAGGTGTAGGATGTGGGCACACACAGATATATATACACCCATACACAAGCAAATACAGTTGTTTGGCGCGCCTGATCGCATGCAGCGTCTAAAATAAACTGGCAAAAATTTATAGTCCACACACACATACACACAGATACAGATACGCACGCAAAAATGTGCGCATTGCTAATTGCGTCTATATTTAAACGTAGCAGCCCAGCGGGAGCAGCGGTACAGAGCGCCAAAGGCGGCGGCGTTACACCAACGAACAGCAGCAACAGCGACGTTGGCAGCGACGCCCACGCGCCAGACGCTGCCCTGCTGGCCAGTGGCCACAGCGCAGCAATAACAGCAGCAGCCCCATGTAACTAAAAATAACAGAGTGAGAGAGGCCAAGTGAAAGAGAGCGCGTAAGCGAGCTCGCTCTTAGATCTGCTGCCGCAGCTGAGAGAGTGATGAGCAGCCTTCATGGCCACCCGCCATGCTAAATAGATTTGCCTACTACATTCTCGCGATTAAAATGCCATAAAAATAGCCAAAGCGTGTGAATGCGCTAAACGTACTGCACTATTATTTTGAGACGCCATTGTCGCTGTTGTTGGGATTGTTGTTTGGCGTTGCCATTGGTTGCCATGCACTTATTGGCGCTCTGCTTATTTTTTGGCAATGCAGCAGCAGAGACACAAATCTTTGCCCAATTGCCGCCGTTGTTGTTGTGCAAGTATTTTATTACTCATTAACGTAACGACGCATTTTGGGCCAACGGGCCGTAGCCACTGCCAACGGCGCCGCTGACGTCGCACAGAGTTCAATATGGTTTGCTTAAGAGACTGTGGGATGAAGAGGAAGAGAGAGCGGGGGTGGGGGTGGGCGTCTGCTTGTTTTTTGTATTTGCGGCAGCAGCGTCAGCCAAAAAAAGAAGAATATCGAGAAAAAAAAAAAAACAAATAAACAACGGTAGACGTTCTAAATTTAGCAACAGGTAAAAAGCTCAAAACAAACGGTTTGTTTTTATTTTTGGTATACATTTTGTTGTTATTTTCCTGGGGTGGGGTATCGGCTATATAAGGGCAAAGGCAGATCGCGTGATGCGGAAAAGTTAGCTTTTGAATGGACAGGGATAGGTGAGGGGGTGAGCGATGGCCGAGGGGTTTGCTTAAAATACAGTTATACGGAGGCACGCAAAATGTTCCGTTAATTTGAGCACGTATAACATATAAGCATATACATATATATTTTTAGGCATGATCGGCTAACTCAGGAGTTGTGAATTATCATTATTAAAGCTCGCATTGGGGATTGCCTAAGAAATTATAAATAAAGCAAGACTAAGGCTGGAAATTATATTTATTAAAATTTTAGGCGGAGACTTTTTTGAATGAATTCTCAAGAACTGCAAAACAAAGTCGAGACTAATGGAATGCGGAGAATTTGAGATGTTCTACTCGGCAACTAAATACTGACGGAAAAAAGATCATTTAATACTAGTAGTCCTAAACCCATAGATTATAGAGAACTGAAGGATATACTAAGTAGATATCTAACGACTACTTAAGTAATCATGACTCTTCCAACTTTATCTTCACTTTATTCTATCTACCACCTCAGACTATTAGTTATTTCTTCCTAAAGATTCAATTAAGCTTTCCGTCTCTGCCAGCAGCAACATCTATGGGATCATCCTTTAAGGATCCCCTCATATAGCAGCTCAGTCTACCATTTTGTATAGTCTAAGTGTAGCTTGACTTTTCGACTTTTCGCTCGATTCGGCATCAAAAGTCAGGTCTTATAAAGTCAACTGCTTGGATGTTTGGTAAATATTCAAGAAAATTTCCATGCAAGTCATATGCAAATCCTTTCGCTGGAAAAGTCAGTCCAACCCTTTGGCTAGGATGTTCGGAAGGCTCAGCTTGGCTGGAACAGTAGCTGATGGGCGTTGAGGACTTCGGATTTAGGCGAAGCTACGATGATACGGAGCTTAGTTTCGAAAACCGCGTTAATTAAATCAGTTTGGACACGCTCTGATGATCGGACGAAAGGGTTTGGCGAAAGGATTAAGTGTGCGTGGCACAGTGGCAGTGACAGTGGCAGTGGTACACAGGTACCTTGGGTTTCTATTAACAGGATGATCATGCACATCAAAGGGCTAAAACCACACACCCATAAAACTGAACGTGCAACAATGGGAAGGAACGCGTGTGCAAAGGCCGCACAACCCGTCCACCACAGCCGCAGCCAGTTCATCAAGGAACAACTCTTCTGTTTATTGCACCCTTTGAGCGAGCTGCTTTTTACCTAGTCAAGGGTTTTTGGCCAAAGGATTCTCTCACTCGGTCTCGGTCTCGGTCTCGGTCTCGGCCAGAGCCGTGACGGTGTTTGTTTATTTGCCATAAAAGGATTATGAACGTCCGAACAGGTAAGCGACAAAGGTTTAAGGCAATGCTAAAGGCTTCGGCTGCTGTAGGGTTAGACAAACGCACGCCCCTTTCCTTAACCCGTTGAGCCAGAGAGCTAGAAGTTTCCTATGAGTGAGTGCTATGAGCTCTACTCTAATGTTCTCTAGTGAGAGAGACTCGGCTTCACTCATTCTCCTTCGCCTTCTAAGAGCTTGTTTCCTTTCCTCTGTTGTTTTTTGCTGCCGCACAATCTCGCCTCATCATTTCCACTAAAAAAGTCAACTTTCGGCTCATAAAAAATCATCGTTTTTTTTTTTTAACTGCCGTTGCGTCTAGTTGCGTAAAAAACGAACGCACTTCCGAGTAAAAAGTCGCCGTTCGCAAATTCTCTTGCGAATTTCAAAATTTTGTTGACGACAAATTGCATAAAAAATGCAACTGCATTTACGAGTTCGCTAAAAAAAAAGAGAAAAGAAAAAGAAAATCGACGTATCTAAAAAATGGCAAAGATCCGATCCGAGCCTAGGCACACTCAAGGTGAGGATGGGTTTGATGGGCCAACACAAAAGCGCAACATGCAGAAGGATTTTATGGTTTTATTTAGGGTTATTTACGCTCTACGCCTCAATGCCAAATCAATTGGCGTGCAAACGTCAACTCCTCACCCGCTCTCGCTGGTTCTGCCTCTAGCTCTCGGTCTCCCTCTCTCTGTCTACCGCTCTCACTCAGCATAGTGCTGGCTCTGTCTGGCTCTACCTGCCGGCACGAAGGAGTAAACGGAGGAAAGAGTTCTTTTACCTACGCGTTAGACTCGCGCCGAAAGAGGTTTTTCGGCATAGGGTAGAGTTTAGGGTTTCCACGGATTAGCTGACTGCTTTGGCTGTCTCTATCGGGGTTTTGGCTTTATGAGCGGCTCGCTAATGTGCCGCATGTCCTTGATGCAT